TGGCTGATTTTAGATACCTAGGAAGTCAGATAAGTCAGGATGGAAGGAGTAGTAGGGATATAAAGCAGAGGATAGCGCAGGGTCGTGTCGCCTTTAATAAAAAGAAGTCACTTCTATGCTCGCAAACGGTTAATTTAGAAATTCAAAGAAGATTGTTAAATTATCTAGTAAAATAAAATACTACAAATGGCGCAGTAAACGCCATCTGTAACACGATGCTACATTTTAGGATTACGTATGCTCCAACAAGGTCCACTTGTGTGGATATCTACTTGCTGAAAACGAATCCCGGAGTAGCCAACCTCAACGTGATCGGCACGTCAGTTTAATCGAATAAAATAATTCGAAGTGGTCCGTATTCTGTTGAAACTGCCAGACGCGGATCGCGATTTCGATCTTTTTGGATCTCATCAGCGCGTCGCAGGCAGCTCCGACAGAATACAGACCAACTTTTACCTGTTTAACAGTGGGACGCGCTGAAGAGATCCAAAAAAATCGAAATCGCGATCCGCGTCTGGCAGTTTCGACAGGGATACAAAACACTTCGAATTATTTTATCTAGTAAAAGGTTTGTAATTTTATCTTATCAATTCTTCCAGGAAGTCTTCGTTTTCGATAATTTCTAAAAATCCTTTTAACTTTTCTAGCAAAAATTTTGACATTGCCTATTAAATTTAAAATTACATCTTCCTTTTGCTTTTTGAAATGAGGGATCCTCTGTTTTTTTTTTATAACTTATAATGCGAAGATTAGTTCAGGATAGGAAAGAGTGGAGGGGCGCGTTCAGTCTTAGGACTGACGACATTATGATGATGAAGACTCACAACATTCATGTTACATTCTATAACGATCATGGTAATTACAAGGAAACTCGTTTGTTAAGTTTGTGTTATAGAATGTACAGCGAAGTTATTGTTATTTTTGTTTCGTAATGTGTCTGTACTCTGTTATCACGTAGTTATAACAAACTTGGTTGTACCTACATCAAACATACGTTTCTTGCTTATAAAGAAATTTTGGTTACAACCATCCTGTCCACCTACATACATACATCATGTAATTATGAGTAGGCATTTGTCAGTATATAGAGAAAAGATAAAATTTACTTTACTGTCTACATGCCATTTTTGATATCCATATATCATTTTTCCATATGTTTTTGCTATATACACTTATGTAAATTATCACTTAACGTTTTATTATATTGTTGATAAAGAAAATAAAAATACGTTTTATCAACTAAATATTTATTATTTAAGTATCTATAAATGCTAATCAAAATAGCAAACATGTCCTAACTGATTATAAGTAGACATTATTGTTTTTACCTATTTCGTGGAAGGTTCCCCCTGAAGACGTTACATTTTTTAAAAATAATTTTACTAATGACGTAACTAAATAAATTTCAGATAAAGATAATTAAGATAAGATAAAAAATTTCCTAATTCCACTCGGAAATCTTGGATGGGGTAGTACGGATGCCCGAGGGGATGGATATAGGTATTTATCCTAGGACTACACATTATGGAAACTGGCCACAGAGTACATGGATAAGCAGGACAAACTCCCGATCGTTATTAATAAGAAACTGAATTTGAACAACTGCTGAAACCTATTGATTAACACAATTTATTAGTTACGATGAAAAATCATCTCATATTGTTGGAACAAAATAAAACAAAACAACGCTTGTGCACAAAACAATTTTCAGGTTTAATTTTTAGACTTAATAATATTGTTAATTGCCTTTAGAAGTGACCTACTTAGTACCTATAAAGAAGCTGAATTGATAAGGGATGTCTTTGGCGTATTCTCAGTGGTGGATTTGCTTTGTCCTTTTATAGTAGTAATTATTACAATAAAACATCTAATTAGGTTAAGAATTCATTCATCATTATAAAGCCGTAAGTCCTAAGACTGGTCGGACACGCACCTCCACTTTTTCCTATCCTGAGCTAATCTTCGCATTTTCCTAAAACTAGAGCATAACACATCATTAACTATTTGCGAACAGTAATGTAATCTAGATTTAGCTCTACTTCTTTTAACTCCTATTTCTGCGTTTAACATATGTCTGACTAGCCCTTCATGCCTGAGAGGGTGTCTTGCCAACCTATCTCGCCTATTTCTTATTTACGTCCTCTGTTCTGCCCTATCTCAAGCATTTTTAAAAAATCCAAATAGATTAATAATTGAAACTCATTTAATGATTATTCATATTATATATAATTTTCTGAAAAATAAACAGTTATTTTTGTTTTAAGAAAATTAATTTCTTATCCTCCCAAAATTTCTTTCAGATTATTCTTAATAAAAGATAAACCATTTTTACTCAATATTTTTTTGGCACTAACTACAAAATGCCATTCCAAGTTTCGTCACTTTATCTATGCATATGCTTCTTATTTTTGTGACGCTGAGGTTGTATCTCCTCCCTAACCGATAGTGCTTGAAAATGCCTAGGGAAGTATTTATTACCAGATTCATTTCGATATTTAAAAACATATTTTTTTTAATGTTGATTGGATTACGTAATTGCAATTAACAGTCTAAAAGCGCTTTTTTGTTGTAGCGTTGATTGATGTATTAATTGGTTAACGTTACAATCTGAATGTCAATTATTCTGTATCTACAATTGAAATGAGAAAATTGTGTATATTTTTCATTATGTCACTAAAAGTGTAGTAACTTGGAAATTTTTTGGAATACTGCTATTTCAAATTATGAATTCGTTTTAAATTTTTTGGACTATTACTGTCATCTATACGGCAACATACATGTTCAGGGATTCACAGAGTAAGTTAACTACAGTTGTGTTGACCACTTAAATTATGTTTCCAATTCCTTTTCAAAGATGACACCACAATTGCGATTTTGAACAAAAATTTGTATCACTGTGCAGGTAAACAAATTAACAGAATAATTTAATAATCATTATTCATCATCATAAGGTCGTCAGTCCTAAGACTGGTAAGACACGGACTTCCACTCCTTCCTATTATAAACTAATCTTCGCATTTCCTTGCAACTAGAACATCCCACAACTATTTGTGAATAGTAAACCAATTTAGGTCTACCTCTACTCCTTTTAACATCTGTTTCTGCTTCTAATATGTCGCTTATATGCCTTTTATGCCCGAGAAAGTGTCTTACCAATCTTTCTTATTGACTTCCATATAATCCTTTGTTCTTATGCTCTTTCTAATACATCTTCATTATTACATTTTTAATTTAAATATGTTTAATCACTTTTCATGTATGTATATTAGTACCTCCCTTCATATAGCTATTCAGAAAAGCTATAATTTTAATTTTTAATCAAACCCGTATATTTTATTGGTCCTTTTTTTTATTCAAAGCTATCTTCGAATCAATTGGAACTTGTAGGTAGGAATTTAATATTTCTTAAAAACATCGTACAAAATGAATTAAATAAAAATATGGAAAAAATAGGAAATGAATTGGTCGAAAATGCGTTCGCAAATTGTACAAAAATTCATTAAGTATCTAGGGTCCGATCTGAGGGGAAGGAGGCAGCCGGGCAAATGCCCAAAGCGAAGGGCGGCGAAATTGGGTGTTCCGGCCGGTTTCACAGAGAGAAAAATCTTATACAAATTACAGTATGTCGCCGTGGTCCATGGAGTTTTGATGTTTGACCTTCTCTGGCTGCATCTTCAGTGGTGATTGACGGTTGCAGACGCTTTTTATATTGAAGTTGCTACAGCAAAGGATTTTCGACTTCGTTGGGCCCATGCTGTCTTGTTTATTTGTTCTTTTCCAGTTGATTGCATTCTGTTTATTTTTCATTACAGGTTTCTAATCTTTACTAATGTCTAACTCCTCATCTCTGCTTATGGTATTGGAATGTTGTTCTAGTTCTAAAGCTTCATGCCTAACCGGGTTGTAGAAACCAGGGAGGGGTGTGTTCTTCAACTGGCCGGTGTGATCTTCCTTAAGAGCATGGTCAGCTATTTTCGGAATTGGAGTAATCTAATTCCTCATTTTTGTTCATTTTTCCTCGTAAGTATGCTGCGCTGTCATACCAATATAGTCCTTGCCGCATCCATAAGGTATATGATAAATCCTTGGCGTTAGTAGTGAATCAAGAGAGTCCTTATTTGGTAGTAGTTCATTATTAATTTTGCACGTAAGTAAAAGATGTCACCAGCAAAGAAGGGCGACACGTCTGGAACATCAAAACCCCGTGGACCATGGCAAAACAACGCGGAAGAAATCACCGCATCAAAGGTGATGTTTGGAGTAGATACGACTCTCTATGGGTGTGAAAGATGGATAGAGGAGGCACTGAGGAAAAAGAATGCTAGAAGTGCTTGAAATGTAGAATGTTTAGAATGCCGTGGATGTAAAAGGTTACCAACAAAGGAAGAGTATGGAGATTAACAAAACGCCGGCAAGGTAGGTTGGTAGGACATTTTTTTCAAACATAGAGCATTAGCAAGAGACATACTAGAAGTAGAAATAGGAGTTAAGAGGGATAGAGGTAGACCTTAACCAGATTACTGTTGCCAAGTTTTCGAGAAATGCAAAGTTGGCTCAAGGTAGGAAGAAGGGGGGGGTGCCTGTCTTTTCGGTTTGAAGACTATGATGATGGCGAGAATGATTCACTTTCAACTTACACCATAATATCAAATTTTATGTAAAATATATAATACATTTAAACTAATGAAGCATTAGGTACCAATAAAGGGGTCTAATCTGAAATAAGCTTTTGTTGATTTGGTAACCTACCATCAAAATAGCAAGTACAGCCAAGTGTTCAGCGTAAAATGTCTTCAAGTTTTCTCAAAATTCCTTACAATTTCAATAAGCTCGTTCGATAAAAAAGAATTAACAAACTAATGACCAAATAAAATAAATGGTACCTATTATGATCAGTGATGACCTCACGTTGTTCTAACACAAGTAGTTTTACAAAAAAAAGATGTCTACTGGTTTTGATAGAGGTTTGTTCAATCATCAATCGCAAAATTTACTAGCGCTACCACAAGATCTCTCATTAAAATTTTTAGATCAATTTGCATGTGCGTACGTACCTTGCATTCGTTGCAGCGAGATTCTCTTCCAAAGTTTTAATCTGTTTTTCATACTTTTGCTTTTCTTTATCAAAATTATTAGACTTATTCTGCGTCCTCTGCAGTTCATCTTGCAGCCTTCGAATTTCTTTCTGATATTCAACGCGCTCCTTTTCAAAAGCAGCCACTTGGAATTTCAAAAACGTTTTCTCGTATTGGTTCTTCGGTTCCTGTTGTGAACTGCCATTCGCTAATCCGAATGGTATGAAACTGTAGACTAACGAGCGAACTGTATTTGGTACATTCAAAATATATTCTTTTATTGATGATAGGTAATCGTTTAGTGTTTGGTACTGTTTGGCAACGGTGGTGTTGACATTTGCTGAAACAAACAGAAAATACAATCAACTTTAATATATCCATCCAAGTACCCGAAAATTAATTGGTAATACAGGATACATATACCAGTAAAATAAGATGTAGTAGCATAACATGGGCGGAGAGACGGTCCACCCTAGACCCGAGACCTAAAGGGGACTCGTTTTCTAGGACGTTTATTATGCGCAAGAACCCGCAGACTGTTTTGTAGTTAGATATTAACGATACAGTGGTGAATTTCTTTAGATGAAAACCTATTTTTTTACTAGCCATTCTATCCAGGTGACCATTTACCCGAATTCTAGGGATGTTAGTTGGTGGTGATTTTTTGGTATCATGAACGAGGCCCGTTTAAAAAATATGGCGAATTTCCGCGGGTTACGTATATTTGATTTTCATTTTTTTATGGCGTTATGTTGGTACTAATATCTCTCACTAATACCGACAAGTTCAGCCATGTTGAATGTTGAGTTAATTTTTGCACGTGTTTTGGCTCGTTTTCGATTTTTATCTACTCCTAAAAGTGGATCAAAGAATCTGTATCAAATTTTGTATTGAAAAACAAAGTTAAACGCGCGGATGCATTCCGAATGTTGACTGTGGCATATGGTGAAGCTACCTTGGACCTAAGCAACGTTTATAGGTGGTATAAAATGTTCTCTGAGTGCCAAGAAGATGTGAACAACGAAGAGCGTGCCGGACGCCCGAGCACGTCAATAACAGACAAAAACATTGACGAAGAGAAGAAAATAGTATTGGCCAATCGTCGAGTCACCGTTAGAGACATTGATTGGCTCCTGTCATCCGATTTTTGCCAATGATTTGGGAGACCATTTGACTAGTCGCCGCGAAATTCGTACCGAAGTTGTATGTACGCATTAACATTACTAAGAGCCGTTAAACTCTTTCCATGACGATCCAAGTTTTCTCCTGAGGGTCATAGCATGTGACGAATCATGGGTTTATGGTTATGACGTGCAAACCAAAGCTCAATCATCTCAATTGAAGAAAGAAGAAAAATGAGCGCAAAGAAATCGAGTGTGCGCAAAAAGATACAGTCGAATTGGAAACCTCTCTTTTTTAACTCAGCTGAAAAAAAACATTTTCTTCTCTGGTTCGATTTGATTCTGAGATAAAAACCGTTGACTTTACGAATTTAACTTCAAATCACCGAAACCTTACCGAATTACAATTTTATTATAGCGTGATAATAAATATTAATCAAATATTTAAGGACTTAACGATCTGACTGAACGTAAAAATGGATTTTGAAACCATAATTCTCTACGTTATCTATGATATAAGAAACGTTTTTAAAGCACCTAATTATTGGGTCAAAATAATTTGTTTAGTAACCCAAATATTATAAACAGATTACTATTAACAAATTAATAAAAAAAATCTGCCTTCGAACGTGGACTTTGTTCGAGGTTTTTTAGCTACGTATTTAAATTACAGCGAATGTAGAGTATTTGAAAGAATTCCGTAAGATAATGCAAAAATATTTATAAACTCTTATATTATTAATTACCGCAGCGGATAAAGTACGGAAGATAACAACACTGCATTAAAATTCATGGTAACCTGTCACCAACTAGTAATGAGCGAAGCAAGACCAAGACCATGACTGTCCCATTCTGGTCTTGCGTGGTAAGTCTCGGTCTTGCTCATTTAATCTGACACTTACGTTTTCTTAATAATTCTTCTACGCACAAAGTTTATTTACCGACACAAAAATTGTCTTAAACGCTAAAACTTTCTGTCATACATGCGAGCTTATCATGACAAATGAATTAAGATAATGTCGATAGTTGTGAGAGTTATGAAAACTGGACAACTTGCTCGTCTTCTAATATACGAATTGACAGTTATCAAAAATGAAGAACTTGCTCTTTCTCCAATGCATAAGTTGGGAGTTATGAAAATCGGAGAACAACTTGTTGTTTCTCTAATGCACAAATTGACAGTTATGAAAACTGGAGAACTTGCTCTTCCTAAATCCATAAATTGAGAGTTATGAAAACTAGAGAACTTGCCTTCCTAAATGCATAAATTGAGAGTTATGAAAACTGGAGAACTTGCTGTTCCTCTCATACATCAATTGACAGTTATGAAAAATGAACAACTTGCTCTATCTCCAATGCATAGGTTGGGAGTTATGAAAATCGGAGAACAACTTGTTGTTTCTCTAATGTACAAATTGACAGTTATGAAAATTGGAGAACTTGCTCTTCCTAAATCCATAAATTGAGAGTTATGAACACTAGAGAACTTGCTCTTCCTCTAATAGACAAATTGACAGTTATGAAAACTACAGAACTTGCCTTCCTAAATGCATAAATTGAGAGTTATGAAAACTGGAGAACTTGCTCTTCTTAAATCCATAAATTGACAGTTATGAAAACTGGAGAACTTGCTCTTCCTAAATCCATAAATTGACAGTTATGAAAACTGGAGAACTTGCTCTTCCTAAATCCATAAATTGACAGTTATGAAAACTGGAGAACTTGCTCTTCCTAAATCCATAAATTGACAGTTATGAAAACTGGAGAACTTGCTCTTCCTAAATCCATAAATTGAGAGTTATGAGAACTAGAGAACTTGCTCTTCCTCTAATAGACAAATTGACAGTTATGAAAACTACAGAACTTGCCTTCCTAAATGCATAAATTGAGAGTTATGAAAACTGGAGAACTTGCTGTTCCTCTCATACATCAATTGACAGTTATGAAAAATGAACAACTTGCTCTATCTCCAATGCATAGGTTGGGAGTTATGAAAATCGGAGAACAACTTGTTGTTTCTCTAATGTACAAATTGACAGTTATGAAAATTGGAGAACTTGCTCTTCCTAAATCCATAAATTGAGAGTTATGAACACTAGAGAACTTGCTCTTCCTCTAATAGACAAATTGACAGTTATGAAAACTACAGAACTTGCCTTCCTAAATGCANGAACGTAAAAATGGATTTTGAAACCATAATTCTCTACGTTATCTATGATATAAGAAACGTTTTTAAAGCACCTAATTATTGGGTCAAAATAATTTGTTTAGTAACCCAAATATTATAAACAGATTACTATTAACAAATTAATAAAAAAAATCTGCCTTCGAACGTGGACTTTGTTCGAGGTTTTTTAGCTACGTATTTAAATTACAGCGAATGTAGAGTATTTGAAAGAATTCCGTAAGATAATGCAAAAATATTTATAAACTCTTATATTATTAATTACCGCAGCGGATAAAGTACGGAAGATAACAACACTGCATTAAAATTCATGGTAACCTGTCACCAACTAGTAATGAGCGAAGCAAGACCAAGACCATGACTGTCCCATTCTGGTCTTGCGTGGTAAGTCTCGGTCTTGCTCATTTAATCTGACACTTACGTTTTCTTAATAATTCTTCTACGCACAAAGTTTATTTACCGACACAAAAATTGTCTTAAACGCTAAAACTTTCTGTCATACATGCGAGCTTATCATGACAAATGAATTAAGATAATGTCGATAGTTGTGAGAGTTATGAAAACTGGACAACTTGCTCGTCTTCTAATATACGAATTGACAGTTATCAAAAATGAAGAACTTGCTCTTTCTCCAATGCATAAGTTGGGAGTTATGAAAATCGGAGAACAACTTGTTGTTTCTCTAATGCACAAATTGACAGTTATGAAAACTGGAGAACTTGCTCTTCCTAAATCCATAAATTGAGAGTTATGAAAACTAGAGAACTTGCCTTCCTAAATGCATAAATTGAGAGTTATGAAAACTGGAGAACTTGCTGTTCCTCTCATACATCAATTGACAGTTATGAAAAATGAACAACTTGCTCTATCTCCAATGCATAGGTTGGGAGTTATGAAAATCGGAGAACAACTTGTTGTTTCTCTAATGTACAAATTGACAGTTATGAAAATTGGAGAACTTGCTCTTCCTAAATCCATAAATTGAGAGTTATGAACACTAGAGAACTTGCTCTTCCTCTAATAGACAAATTGAGAGTTATGAAAACTAGAGAACTTGCCTTCCTAAATGCATAAATTGAGAGTTATGAAAACTGGAGAACTTGCTGTTCCTCTCATACATCAATTGACAGTTATGAAAAATGAACAACTTGCTCTATCTCCAATGCATAGGTTGGGAGTTATGAAAATCGGAGAACAACTTGTTGTTTCTCTAATGTACAAATTGACAGTTATGAAAATTGGAGAACTTGCTCTTCCTAAATCCATAAATTGAGAGTTATGAACACTAGAGAACTTGCTCTTCCTCTAATAGACAAATTGACAGTTATGAAAACTACAGAACTTGCCTTCCTAAATGCATAAATTGAGAGTTATGAAAACTGGAGAACTTGCTGTTCCTCTAATACATCAATTGACAGTTATGAAAAATGCATTAATTGGGAGTTATGAAAACTGGAGAACTTGCTCTTCCTCCAATGCATAGATTGGTTTTTTCTCTTTACGAACAAAATAGTACAAGGTGTTTGAAAAAAGTAAAATATATAAAAAAAACTGATTTTAACCATGTGTTATCTGCATAAACGAACAAGGAGCACTTACTCCGTATGCATTCTTGTATAGATCCCTTTTTTCAAATAGAGGTAAAGTTTCTTTTCTCTATTTAGTGTTAAAATCTAGTAAAGCAAACTGAAAATTTCAAATATTGAAAATGTTTTGTTTCAAGAAAAGAATAAATTAATACTGTTTCAAACAGTTTAACTCATAAATCCACAGGAAGTAATAATTTTTCGTTTAGTCCTGCATATGTGATATTAGTCTTGCATATTCGGTCTTAATTATAGTCTTAGTCTTGTTCGTTTGATCAGGGTTTTGGTCTTGAGCTTGTTAGTATAAATACAGTCTTTGTCTTGGTCTTGTACCAATTTTGCTTATCACTATCACCAACAGTTTTTAGAAGTTCCTACATACTGAACGATGCCAGTTTATGCAAAACAAAGGTTGTTACCGATCATTTAGAGGAAATATGTGACTATTGACGGATAGTACCGGGTCGGATCCAAAAAAAGTACTGCACCCGTCAGGTAGCAGATCCAAACTGAGTACTCGGCCTATCTCTATTCGCTCATGCAACTTTTGCCGAACCTTTTGCCTTACTATATTAATTGACATCAAAAATTGACGTATCTTGTTTTGTACAAGGTGGGGAATCAAACCTATAATGTGATACTGGTAAGACATTAAATGGGCATTTTTCTATTATATTAATGAAAGTTAATTGAATAGAATAAATAAGCATTGGCTGTAAAAGAATGAAGCACTGAGTCTGTTAATTTGAAAATTAAATTAAAATTTTGCAATTATTTAAAAACTATTAAAAAATTTTAAATGTAAAATTAAAACCAAGGAAATTTGCAGTGGCATGAAATGTAAAAAAAATTTTCAACCAAAAAGTACAATTTTAGACCGTTTTGTCTACGGCTAACTGAGAGATTATTAAACAGACATTGGATTTTCCCAAAATATGTTCTTGGTGCGCCTCCATGTAAAATCGTCAAAATATGCTCTTAACATTTTATTCAAATTGGTTTAGTTTCGGCTGTAAGTTGATTACACAGTCACCTAATATATATCTTCATAATCCTGTAACCCCCTAACTCTAAAACTTCAGGAACCCATATTTCTGTAATCCTCATAATCAAAACATTGAAACAGTATCGCTCAATGCCTCACCGCGAAACTATTCATGGCATAAATTTCACAAAATTAAAACAGAATCTTCATGATTCCCAAAGCGTTAAACAGTAAGGTAAGGTCATAATCTAAAGTCTAAACATGTTAGATAAATTAAGAAACTGAGTGTCATGTTCCACGAATGTTTTGATAACGAATAACATGTGCTATTTCATTAATAAATTGGACTGGCTAATCGATACTGTGCTCATATCATGAAATCAACATCCTGGGGTTTTTCTGGAATGTTCTTTAGACCGTCACGGGATTGAATCATTAAGGATGAAATGATTGTCGGTTAATGCAGATTTCAAATTTATTAATTACGAAAATAAATCACCAAAGGGATCCACTTCGTGATCCAAAGAGTGGAAGCTCGAACTTGTACAGCACATGTACAAGCTCATTAGCAAATAAATTAAAAAAAAAAGTTGTAGTAAAGGCTCTGGTATTAAATAGATAAAAGATTTGTTTAAAACTTAATAAAAATAATGAAACAGTAAAATCCATTTAATCTGTGTGAAATCTATACCTATCGATGGTTGTGAGGCTTTAAACTGTAGATATCGTATCAATATTTACGGTCAATTTATCAATTGAATATCCTAGTAACGACACCTGGAATAAACTCCCTTTACATTATCCGCAAATGTTATCTAGATGTCATCATTATTATTGACCTAGCATGCGTATCAATAAAATGCACAACTACAATAATACCATTGCAATGCATAACAAGTTTATTTAGTGTTAGCTTACGTTTGAGATAAAATAGACATATATGAAATGCAGATGTATTACTAATATAACTTACAGGACACCTGCTTGTGAACGTTAATTCCTTTTTCCACGAGCTCCTTCGCTGTCCTAGATGTGGCCAAGGTGATCTTTAACGGATAATGAATCTACAACACAAAACGGTACCTTTTATCTCCTGTCGCTTGTACAAAAATGTAACTTATTGCTTACACACAATATTCCAAGGTACACCACTGATTCAACAAACTGCATTGTTCTTCGTTTTTTATTTCGCTTTTGTTTTAATTATTGAGTTTATTATGCCCACTAGGCACGATTCCGTCTTACACCTACCCGCGTATACGACTGTTAAACGTGATCTATACTAAGTATTTTTAATTATTACTATATTGTGAGTGTAGCCTCCAGACCTTTCGATTTCATATCTTAACAAATAAAAGAAGCGATGATTTAACTTTAGACCGTTTTGTACAAACAAATTAATATTTGTGTGATAAGTCCAAGTAATTACAAGTACACGGTCCAATTGTGTGTATTTGTGTAGGCCACAAAAAAGTGTTCAGCCACAATGCGAACTTTATGACAAGGGTCACTAGATACGATTAACCGTTAATCGTTAACGTTACTAAAGAGTTCAGATAATTATTGAAAAAAGACGTTTAAAAGGCGTCAGAAGGAGAATTTATACCAAGATTCCACTAAACAGAATGGATTTACTAAATACTGGAACATGGTGTATTTGTTTACTTTCGTATAAAAATGAAATATAAATGCCCTTCTAGTATTGTTTGCTCGATTTAGTTATCTCTCTTCGTTTATACAATACATCCTATTTATGTACACATTTGTGATTAAAATAGATTTTAGCCTTATTAATTTTGTTCTACATTCCATTATGGTTTATTTTTATTGAAAAGTAGCAATACCCAATGGCGTAACATATTAGAGGAAAATGGGGGGTACATCAACATCAGTGTTGCAAACCCCTACTACCGCTTCCGCAATTACGGAAGTTCCGCATACTTTTTCACATCCGCTACTGCATCTGGTTCCGCATTTCTATAACGGAAGCTGGTAAATGTGTAGATAATGGCCATGGCCATGGCCCTTCGGGGGTGGGGGTGGGTGGTATCGAAAGAGGAGGTCTCCCCCGCCACTGTACCATAAAAAGTTCGTGGCGGTCTCACCCCCATATAAAGTTATGGGGGTTAGATGGGGGTGGGGGTAGGGGGGATCGAAAGAGGGTGGTCACCTGAGAAAAACCCCATAAAAAATTGCGGCGGTCTCACCCCCATAAGAAGTTATGGGGGTTGAAAGTTGATTATTTTGACAATTTTCATACACTATAATTCAAATAAAATTCAATAAAATAATTATTTTCAAGCGGGTAGAGGTGGAGGATCGAAAGAGGGTGATCACTTGAACAAAACCCGATAACCTAACCTAACCTACCCTATTGATAAAGCTATTTAAATAATGTTTTATATAACTTTCTCAATATTTTTATGTATTTTTCATTAGTTTTACCTTTGAATATTGTTTAAGAATGACTATATAAATATTTACATGCCTAGAAATGTATAAAAATTGGCATATTTATTAACTTTGAACCCCAATAACTTTTTATGGAAGTGAGATCGCCACGAACTTTTTATGGTACAGTGGTGGGGGAGACCTCCTCTTTCGATCCCCCCGAAGGGGGTAGGGGCCATTATCTAGAAATTTACCCGGAAGCTTAATGGAACTTAGAATCTTATTTCTTATATTTCTGAAAATCAATGTATCGGAACAATAAAACAAGTCGTAAAAATTTATTACTTTTATCTGTTGGCTACCCGCACCAGCTTTCAGCTACCTCACTGAATCATTGTGAATGTATTATTATCAACCGTTTATGTTTACGAAGCATTAGCGACAATGTGGAACGTTATAGTCGCCAAACTATTGTTAATAATAATATCTTCTGTGTACAAACACCTTTATCATAGTTGAGGGCTTAAATCTATCCTAGTATTTCATATATTGACATTTTCTAAATTTTATTCTCTAATTGATTCCCTACTTCAAACTGAAAACATCCCGGACTTCCAGGTCTCCTGTAATAATTCTCCTAATAATTTCATTTAGAAAACATTACCACAGTTATAGGGTTTATTTATTTTGTATAGTATTTGTTCAGTGTAGTAAGTGCAATTTTGAAGCTAAAAAAGAAGTGCTATTTGGAATTATTTTGTTAATGTTAACGATGAAAGTGTCAACATATTCGCGAAAACGGCGTAGAACAACTTCACTATTGGGATGTGACATGTGGGCGCGGCCTAATAAAGATGGCTGTCCATACATTGCATCAGTATTATAGAAAGCGTTGCATATTGTGATTTTTAATTTTTCTAATGATAAATTTAAAAACAATTTTTGATTGGGCTAATGCAAATGCAAGCTCAAGAAGTGTTGTGGAAGCCGAAAAACTTTTGAAAGCTGGCCACATAATAAAATGTGGAAAAAATGTTGATAAAACAAGTGATACCGCTTGATACTTGCACTTCAACATATCGCATTGATCGCGTTAGAGGTACTACTAGTGCTTGGACATTCCATAAATTTTCACCGTTTGATGAGTTATGATCTAATTCTTCTGATACTAAATCTTTTTCCTGCCTTCAATTTTTTACGTCGATTAATTTTTCGAGTTTCGCGACTATTATCTATTTTGACATTAGGTAAGTTATTAGACGGGACAGCATTCCTTTTCAGTTTTCTGCGTTTTACTGCAACATCTTTAAAAATTAACGCATAAATTTTAGCATCACATTGGAGTTATAAAGTGAGGTTAAGTATAGAAATACAACATTTTCGATTATTACTTACCCGGAAAAATGTAGTCATCTTTTTTAAAATGAAGTGAGAAAACTCTTGTACATGAACTGACATTTTTAGTTTTTAAAGCTCTTTTCCAAGCTTTAATTTGATCGATTTTCTCAAGATTACCAAATACATTTGTGATAGTTACGACCTGTTGCACCGTAGGAAAACTATGAAATGTAATATCTAAGTCCTTATCTAATCGACTTGTACAACCTTTTACTGCACAAACGGTTCTGCACTTTGATTTTGCACGAAATGGAAATTTGGCTAGTTCCATATTATATAAAATATTAATAATCACAATTTGCAAAATAGCGGTTTATTACAATGCAATGCTTGGGCAGTTAAAATTTCTGCCACCAGGTGCCGTATCGTTTTATGTCAAATCTCAATAGAGTCACCTAAAACCATTACACTTCCGCTTCCGCATCCGCTTCCACAAAAATTTACTGTTTACTTTTGTTTCCACTCCTGTTTCCGTAATAACATTTCCGCTACATCACTAATCCACACCCAGTGAAGACCCGTGATGAAATGAAACAGATGTTTTATAACTGCTTACTCACCTATGTTTTAAAATTGATTTCAATCCTGTGATCTCTCATAGAAGCAAACTTGTCTAAAGCTTTCTCACCATTTTATCTATTTCTATGCTTTATTGCCTCGTCAAAATAAAGAAGGAAAACAAACTAATACATTTTTATAGAATTATTCTATGAGTATTTCTTAAAAATAGCGGAAAGAAAGATCATGTAAAACTAAATATCGAGTACATCAGCCGCGTCTGTCCTTCCAGGTTATTGTTCCAAAAAGGTTTGCTAATACCAACTGCGAACGAACCGACCAAGTAATATTTCTATAGTTACACTTTAAAATGAAAGAACCTCGCACAGGGATTCTTACGAAAAATGCCCCACTGTCAAAATCTCTGAACCTTTGGATTCTGGTAGTTCTCAGCATTTAGATCAAAGGTCTCAATTGGGGCTAAGTGGTAAAAACTCTTCTTTTTGAGACATCGTCCCATAAAGTTGCATTCTTTCGTAAGGACATCCAAGATACAATTACGCCTATCGAATACGTTCAAGTATACTTACAATAGTATTATTTTATCAAGTCAATCATGTAACTTGAGCGAAAACGTATCATGAACGTATATCATTAATCCAAGAGTTTATATTTTGTTTTTATTACACCTTCTCTGTAAGGGTAATAGATGACAACAAGATGAAACAAAGTAAAATTTAACGATAGATAATCATCATCGTAAGATTGTCAGTCCTAAGACTGGTTGGACACGCACCACCACTCTTTACTATCCTAAGCTAATCTTCGGATATCCACAAAACTAGAACAACCCACATCCTTAACTATTTGCAAATAGTAATCTAATCCAGGTCTATCTCTACCCCTCCTAACTCCTGTTTCTGCCTCTAATATGTCTCTGACTAGACCTTCATGCCTGAGAAGGTGTCCTACCAACCTATTTCGCCTATTTCTTATTGACTTCCATAGGGACCTCTTTTCTCCTATTCTTTCTAATATCTTTTCATTTCTAACCTTCTCTATCCACGTTATCCTCATCATTTGCAAGTAACGCCACATTTCGAACGCTTTTTCTACTTCTAACTAGTTATTTTCTTTTCCACCAAGCCCATCATCCATGTTTCGCACCCTGTAGAGCACCGCACCTAAAGCATATACCTTTAACAATCATTTTCGAATTTCTAAATTAACCGTTCATGAGCATAAAAGTGACTTCTTTTTATTGAAGGCGACTCGATTCTGCTCTATCCTCTGCTTTATATCCCTACTATTCCTTCCGTCCTGACTTATCTAACTTCCTAGATACCTAAAATCAGTCACTTCTTCTAATTTTTTGCCTCCTATCTTTATATTCGCTCTTTCCTTACTTTTTTTTTGACAAAAAACAGAATAGGTGGCATATAGATACAATCAATTTGGTCCCACTCCGTTAAAATTAAGATCAACAATATTTCAGCCGACAATGGTACTCAGGGGCACAACAACGTTACAGTTTGACTGGGTGCATCATGATACTATAAATATTTATATACTGCGGGTGGGTATAAGCTGAAAAGATCGAGTTCAGCTGCCCATTTACGATATTGAACCATTTGAACCTAACTTTCAAGTTGGGTTATTATCTGAATCGACTGGAATTGACTGGGCGCCCAACCCAATTGAGTGGGTGCTCAGGCACCCGTGGACCCTCCCTTGTTGCGCCCCTGATGGAATTCGTGGATTTTGCGAATAAAATATCTAGATAACAGGATATCACAAATAATTATAACTACAATAGTATTAGACACTGACGATGGTATCTTTATCAAAATGATTGTACCACATTAGTGATTATTTTTCGGTTGAAACTTCTACCTACTTACGTTAATTCATTAATTTATTATGAACTTATTATCCCAACAAAAGTGAATTTACAGTACTATCCTGTTCACAGAGCGTGACGACATTTGGTGATCATTACAACCATATTACTCTAATTTTAATAATATCAATTACATCCACATTTTATCATATTTGACAAATTACTTAAAAATAGCCGTGATGAAGTTGTCGAATAATTATCCGAAAAATCGTAACAAACATGAAGTGACGATAAGTGATACCGTTGTGAAATCTGAACTGTTAATAATAAGGAGCAAAGTGCGGGTCTGACTCACGCATTAGGAATTTC